ATACCGGATGCGGCTTTAGACGCCTTAGGCGGTCACAAAGATCTTGGAATCCATACAGAAATGTTCTCAGATGGCATCTTGAAGCTTGTGGAGTGCAGCGCTATTACCAATGCAAAGAAAACTATTCATCCAGGGAAGGTCGATTACTGTTTTTGTTATTTTTATATTGTCTGCGAAAAAGATTTTCATTTTCTTATGTATCCAGAAATGATGTATTGGAATAAAAAACTTTTCGTTTTAAGAATGTGCCATTTTACAGTTGGTGGTCGGATTTGTATATGGCTCTACAAAACTGTACTCATTCCTGAACGACAATCCAGCTGTATATTTTGGCGATGTAACCTGGGTGAATGATCCTGCCATCATAAAACAGTTGCCACGAATGACTGCCATCAATTCTGCTGTCGAAGTCGATCTTACTGGCCAAGGTTTCTAAATTTCCTTTTTCCTTCTATTAAGCTGCAGTTGCCGGCGCTCTTTTGAACTAAAGCTGCTTAGGCAGGATGGGAGTTTTGAAAGAAAAATTAAAAATCTGTTATTATTTGCTAAAATTTTGCAGTGGTTGCGGATTCAGTCGGATCTCGATTTCTTTCCGGTTTCGGTGGGCAGGTGGATTTCATTCGTGGTGCCGGTATTGGATTGGACGGCCTCGGGAAGCCTATTATCGCTCTGCCCTCTGCGACTAAAAAAGGCCAATCAAAAATTGTTCCATTCATCAATCAGGTATATTTCGTATCCTCCGGCATGACTGTTCTTGAGAGTGCCATGGCGTAAATTTCATTGATTGGCTTACAGGGAGCGGGTGTTGTTACATCGCGTGCGCATGTGCACTACGTTGTAACGGAAAACGGTATTGCACAGCTGTGGGGCCGAAATATGCGACAGCGTGCTTATGAACTGATCAGAATTGCACATCCGGATCAGCGACAGAAATTGGAGAAGGCCGCTTTTGAAAGGCTCAAGGTGATGCCTTCGCCTGATTGATCACTTCTTTCAGTGGCAGTCTCGGGCTGCCCGTACTCTCACATCGAATAAATGTTCTTACATTTGTTTCTTCGTACTCCAATACACTTGTCTTCGTGCTCACTACTAGTGTCCAGAGCCAAAGCTCTCCCCGAA